CCTAATCCCCAAAAGGCCGGTAACGCACTTGTAACGCCTCTGCTGTTCCAGGTGTCTCTGGGCCACGCCGATTGCTTACCATCAGGTGATCCGTCTGCTCGTTTACCGGCTTATGCCATAAAAAAAATAACAGTTGAATTTTGGACCTCCAAAGGTCATATCCTAATAATGGGATTAAGTAAAAGGGCAAATGGTTAACTGTCTTATTTTCTTATTAACATTATTGCAAATGTGTCCACATATATTATATTTATACAATTTATGTATTTACTCAGGTACTAATAACAAAATGTAATTCAATAACGACAATTTTATCACCTTGGCCGTAGGGTAGAATTTAAATGTAATTTTATTAAAATATTTAAGGTCACTTATGCTTCAATTTAAGTGTGTAGAGCCATGCTTCGATTTCGGTACGAATGGGCCGGCTCGACCGGAGCGATACCACGGCCTTATAGAAAACCGACGTGAAACAACGCTTGCGTTGTGTTTCATCGTGTGGGTGAGGTTACCGGAAGCCCAATTACCTCCTCCCAAATGCCCCCAATCCCGGAATCCCCAAAAATCCCCTCAAATTCTTAACCCCCAAAAGGCCGGCAACGCATTTGTAACACTTCTGGTGTTTCGGGTATCTTTGGGCGGCACCGATTGCTTACCATCAGGTGATTCGTCGGCTCGTTACTTCAACGAGACAGTCTGTCATTGTTAACCATATAATAATATAGGACCTAGGTAAGACTAGGATAACTTCTTAAATAACAGAATTCGTAAGTATATTATGATCATCAACAGCCGCGGTAGTTTACAGCTAGACTATGAGTATCATACACAAGGGGCAGGGCACTCGCCCACACGGCGGTATCTGTAGCGATGCAGTGACATACTGTCGCGTCACATCGATACAGTGACACAATTCACTATGCATTATAAATGTAACATAAGCTATGTGCTTTAAGATAAGAAATTCTGTGCTTTAAGATAAGAAATTCTGTAGAATAAGCTCATTAAGGCCCCTTGCCTACGACGAAATTTTGTAGCGATGTTGTCGCGTGTTGACTTTTTACAAATATACAAGTTCACATACACAATGACACCCAGACCCGAAACAACAAAACAAAAATCCACAAATTGTTGTTTCGGGACTAATGTCGTCGTAGGCAAGGGGCCTTAATGAGCTTATTCTACAGAATTTCTTATCTTAAAGCACATTATAGAGATACATAATATTCAGTTTTAAAATGTCGAGATTTTCTACTTTTGTTACAATGTTAAAGTACTATTTTGTAATTTTTTCAACATTTTAACAACTTGCTTATGTTTTGACCTGCGTCACTACAATCTTAACTCAATGAAAATAAAGAAAAATAATTAATCATTGTTGTATTTTGTTTTTATAAAACAATACAATGTTATTACTTATCTCAATATTATCTGGTAAATTATGTTATTATGAATTCCAATTTTTTTTTTAAATAACTTTGTGTTTTGGTGTAGGTACACTTCTTTGTAGATTGTATCTATTAATTTCTATTGTTTATTTCAAAATGCATAAAGAATTCAAGGTAGGTATATCATTTCAAAATTGTAAATTATGTTCTGGTTCGTTGATCCCAGAATAACATTGTCTTAGCTATGAAGCGCAAGAGATGACGTAATTGTTTAATGAAAAAACATATACATACGGTCGAATTGAGAACCTCCTCCTTTTTTAAAGTCGGTTACAAACCTATTTAAATATTTTTTATTTTTTTATCATAGCTACAGCTCCGAATTTTCTCCTGTGTACATACATTATGTGATGGTGTTTGTAAATTTAAATGAATGTTTTATTTATAGTCTTTATGTTTGGTAATCACATCCTTACTAATATTATAAATCGGAAAGTGAGTTTGTTTGTTTGTTCCGCTTTCACGCCGTAACTACTAAACCGATTGCTTTGAATTTTTGCAGACGTAAAGTTAGAAGTCCAGATACTTTTTATCCCGGAAAAATTTGATATTCCCGAGGGAAAACAAACGTATTGGTATAGATGGCGCTGTGTGTATTGGTATATGTCACATAGTCTACTTTTTATCCTTTTGTGACGCGAGCGAAGCCGCGGGTAAAAGCTAGTTAAAAATATTGCGTGCAAAAATCGAACCCTTAGTTTTGTAGCCCCTGCGTAGCAGACTGTCACGTCACCTAATGACAATTAAGGATTAATGCAAGCGCCTCATAGGTACCCCAAACTTTTTTTGACGCCACCAGTGTCACTCGTCTATGGGCAGCTGGGCATGCACTTCTCACGGCGCCTCTCTATAACCTGGGGCCCTAGGTCCTTACCTTGTTTACGTTATGAATGAATACGGCTCTGAGTCCAACAATAATAGTATTATCTGGGTAAACGTTGAAGTACCTATTTCCTAAGAAAGATCTTCTTCAGTCTACAATTATTTATTTTATTTTTAGCCATGTTCATCCCACTGCAGGGCAATGACCTCCCTACCCTCCTCCCACTCATCTCTTCTTAAAGCTTTCTGCGGCCAACCCTCTTCATAGGCGTCAAGTTCATCCCGTTAGTCAGTCCTACCTACATAATTATCAATTACTAAAGAAAGATTATCTCAATCTGATACGACTTTCTCCAAATTTCACAATATTCAAACGCCTTGCAATAGGTATAATTTTATTTCCATAGACTCTGGTTCGATGCCCGAACCGGGGCAAGTATCGAGTATGTATATATAGCCTTTATGAAAACAATTTTTATTTTTTTTAAATATAGTTGCCCCCACACTAAGGCTTTCTCCTGTATCGTAGGTGCGTTTACAAACATACAAGTTCACATACACATCACACCCAGACCCGGAACAACAATCTGTGGATCACACAAAGAGTTGTTCCGTGCGGGAATCAAACCCGCGATACGTTGCGCGGCAGCCAGTTGCCCGACCAACGCGCCAACCGTGCAATCAAGTTATAAATATTGTTATAAATACACACAAAATACATTATGTATAGATTTCAAAATAATACATAAGTTGACATTTGACAATAAGCTTTATTACCACGCTCATAAATACCCATTTATTATATTATTGAATATTTTAAAGTATATTTTTAAATTGTAAATATTGATTTAATAATAATTGTATATTCTTTTACAATGAGGTTGGGTTAAATTAATAAATTATTAGTTTAAATTAATTATGTGTTGTAATTACTAAACAAGTTAATTTATACTGTATTGTAACTTTCGTGAGACATACTAAAGTAATGCCATGTATAAGTAAAAAGTTAATTTAATTATACCTCTACATGACATTGTCGTGGTGGCCCGGAGGTTTAAGAACATGAGGGTACGGGCTCGAGTACCAATGCGACTTTTTCCGAATATACGTAGTTTCGTTAACATTATTTAGTCACCACTGACAAACGGTGAAGGAAAACATCGTGAATAAACCTGGGCTTATCATTTCTAATTATACCTAAGTCTGAAATCGCCAACCCGCATTGAGCAAGCGTATGCTCAAACCTTCTCCGGGTCCGGCTCCAGCTTAGGTACTCTTGAATCCAATTCCGATCGATCGACATTGGTATTGTGAAATTTCGTACTCTTAAGTTGCTACACTAGCGGCCATTACATTCAGATTGCGTGGATATTGAATGAACAAAAAGCTAAAAGCTATTTTAACAGTTACGATTGGGGTTGTATAAGTTTGACATTGAATAATTAATAAGATTTTATTGAATCAAAATTGCATTCAAAGTCAAAGTCAAAACCATTTATTTCAATTAGGCCAGAATGGCGCTTTGAACGTCAACAAAAAAAAAATTAGATGTGAAGCTATTTGCTCATTCCAAGGTGTAAATTCCTATGGAGAAGAACGAGCAAGAAAACAATTTGACTGCAAAAGTAAGCACACAGAAGAGGCCTTTGGTCAGCAGTGGCCACTTATAGGCTGTTGCTGATAGGCATTAATTTAATAAAATTGAAAACAAATATAATTAAGTAAGTATATTGTGCAACCCAAACCCACTGGTTGTAAATCTAATGAAACCACTAACAATACCCAGAAGGCTAAATAAGAAACTACCATGTGACCTAATACGACAGACTAGCGGACTGGTATGCCGACCATCTCTGTGCAAGACGTGACTAAATATTGAACAATTGCTGAATATATAGAATTTTAGATTGCAATAAATTCAGGAAAAAAATTATGCAAAAATAAATAAGATTATCATAGTAGAAAATTGGCTTTATCATTTGGTAATGTGTAGATATTCGATAGAAAGAAAGAAAGAAAGAAGAAAGAGAAACCATTTATTACGCCACGACACACAACAAAAATGCAGGTACACACAAAAAGTCCATGGTGCATCGCAGCGCAAAAGGCTGGAGCCCAGCTTAATACGGACCATGGATACGGCAGAATAGACGTTTTCCACAACCTCTATCCTTCGCGGGGAGTTATAAAATCAACGACCTACACGTGTGACTAAAACCCTTTGAACTGCGAGCGAATCAGCTTCGTGAATGTTAACATAATGTAGACAAAGACCATAAATAGACAAAAACTAAAGGCCATAGATGCGCCTTAACTGGAGTAGCGGATAAAGTCGTATTAATACCGCAGCCCGGTATACATCATACATACAGTAATCAAATGATTTTTGGTACTTATGTAAACTGATGATGACAAAAAAAGAAATAGCAAAGAGAGTCCAAAAGGGTGAGCAGTAGTTAGTAATAGTTAAAATCTATAAGGCATTTTTCATGGGTGGAAATCATCAAATTACTCCTCCCGCCTTAGGTACACGAGAGGGACTGTCAGACTCTTACTGACAAAAACCAACTTCTAACTTAAAATATGTTCGTTTTATAAGTACCAAAAATCGTTTATTGTTTACTGTATTCCTTTATGTATATAGATACAAATACGAGATCTATCACTTATACAAATTCTTCCCGACAACGTCATACATTATTAATTCATTCTAATTAATTGTCCATCCAGGAGAAAGCAGCGTCACACCAGAGTACCAGGAGGCGTACCGGCGCTCCATCAACGATCCCGAAGGGTTCTGGGGCGAGGTAGCACAGGAGCTGGAGTGGACCAAACCCTGGGAACGAGTCCTGGACAACAGTAATCCACCGTTCACAAAATGGTTTGTCCTATTTTGTATTCTTTTTGGCTGTTTTAACTTTGGAAGAGTCAAGCACGGCACGAATGATACCACGATCTTACAGAAATTTTACGTGAAACAATATTTGCGTTGTGTTTCGTCGTGAGAGTGAGGTCACCGTTAGGCCCAATTACCCTGATTGTCCCTAATCGCCGAATCCTCAATAATACTAAAATTCCTGATCCCAAAAGGCTGGCAACGCACTCGTAACACCTTCTGGTGTTTCGGTTGTCCATGAGTGGTGCCGATTGCTTATCGTTAAGTGATCCGTCTGCTCGTTATATCCCATAAAAATTGGTGTATTTTGTCCCTATTCAGAAGATTATCTAAATCGTTAACGTTCATTAAGATAGAGTTTGTAGATGGTTGCAAGTCGCCTTCTATCAACTGCTGAATGTTCTTAGGAAATTTGGTTTCTCCTAAATACCTTCTCCATCGGTACTAAAAGATGTAACATTATGTCCTAATGATCTATAAATTTGATACTGAATCATCCTTTGTCCCGCAGGTGGGTAGGAGGAGAGATGTCAGTATGTTACAACGCAGTAGACAGACACGTGGCCAATGGCAAAGGAGACCAGGTGGCACTAGTACACGACTCACCTTTAACCGACACAGTGCGCAAGATCACATACTCTGAGATTAAAGATCAGGTTCGTAATGACTAGTTTAAGTGGAGGATATTATTTATTCACTACTCATACAATGTCTTATAACTAAATTGCAAGCTCGTTAGTCGTGGTAACAATAGTCATTGGAACTTCGGTTCCACTACAAGGGTTTCCAATTTTCACTGATAACATCGAGTTTGGAATGGCAAATTTTTACTCTTTTGGAGAAAAAAATAGAAGACAACATGACTTCCATACTTAAGTTTAATGCAATAACACATAAGCAAAACCAACATTTATTTTATTCTAGGTCTCCCGTCTAGCTGGTAAGCTGGCATCACTGGGCGTGACGCGAGGGTCTCGGGTGCTGATCTACATGCCCCTCGTCCCTGAAGCCATCATCTCCATGCTGGCCACCAACAGATTGGGAGCCATCCACTCAGTAGTCTTTGGAGGTAGTCCTCATTTATTTATTTGTTAATTTCTCCTGATAATCATCTATGAACATTGTAACCGATGCTTTATTATTCGATTGTTTCTATAAAATATTTTGATGAGAATAATTGTTAGCTATTTAGTTAAAATCCAAATGTACTTAAATTTAATGACAATAAAGTTAATATAGAACAAATTTTGTAAACAACAGGATTCGCAGCGCGAGAGTTGAGAACAAGAATAGAGCATGCTGAGCCCACCGTGATCATTGCAGCCAGCTGCGGTGTGGAACCCAACAAAATTGTCAGGTAAAAATACAAAAGTTACACATCTTTATTAAGTACTTCATCAGTACCTACTTAGTACTTACTAAGAAGATAGCATAAACCTTTACAATAAGAAGATAAATAAGTCGTTTATAATCGACTGAGTAAGAGAATCTTTCCCTAAATCTTCAGTCTCAATACAAGATCTTACGACCAAGAAAATAAATAAACCAATAACTCTCAACCTCTAGATACAAAGACATCCTGGACGAAGCGCTCTGTCAGTCAGACTTCCAGCCGAACAACTGCATCATCTTCCAACGGCGAAGAGTTCTGGAGTGCACCCTGGAACCTGGGCGGGACATCAACTGGGAAGATGCCTTGGAAGCTGAGCCTGTACCCTGTGTACCTGTAGAGGCTAACGAACCGTTGTACATATTGTATACTTCAGGTAAGCGACAGATGAAGAAAAACATAACATAACATAACATCGCACCTTTTATCCCGGAGGGGTAGGTAGAGGTGCACAGTGCGGCACTTAAATACCACTGTACAATGTAATACCCATATTTTACTATTTATGTTATGAGTCCCATGTAATAGGGGGTGAGCCTATTGCCATATACGGGGCACAATTCCAGACTCCGTTCTACTACCGAAATTTTTTTATAAACCCAGTAACGACCCGGTAATCGAACCCGAGTCGATCAATCGAATCCCCTTTGCCCGGCAGTCACACTTACGAACAGTATTTTATTGAACTCAAAACCAATTTAGAAGCGGGTACATGGGGAGATAGTACTTCTTTATCGTGATGAGTATAAAAAAGGGGCAATTATCTAAAAATCGCGGGTTACTCACGTGAATATATTGAGAAAAGCTCTACTGCTGCTCACGAGTAAGAACCCCTCTGTGGTTCGAAACTAGTTGAGCTTTTCTTAGTATTTTCACGTCAATAACCCGCGATTTTTAGTTAATTTAGTATGTGTTTTTATAATAACTATCGTGAGACGCGTGAGCTGCGCGACGTCGCCGCGACCGCGCACGCTGCTCATGAGGAAGAACCCCTCTGTGGTTCGAAACTAGCAGAGCTTTTCTCAGTATATTCTCGTGAGTAACCCGCGTTTTTACTTAATTTAGTATGTCTCACGATAGTTATTGTAATTAAACAAGTGCAATTATGTTCAAATTTTGAAGAAATACGAATAGAATAGGACATTGCCACGATGGTGCAACCGGACAGTTATTGAACCTTCATTAATTCATGGTTCGGTTATGTTCAAACTTGAATACCCACTAATTTATTAACTAGCCATCTGTGAAGTCAAGTACCGATAATGACAAATTACAATATAATTAAATTAATTAATTTTGAATAAATACTATAAAAAATGACTTACCAATGCGAATTAATTAAGAAGGAAAGTCAGCAGTGTGATGAACCAATTATTTAGATTACCGTTATTTTTTTAATTAGTTATTGTTGATTCAGGTCTTCCTCGATCAATGCCTTATTACCTACAAATTATTATGGATGAGCAGTTTGTTATCTACTCTTTTTGTTTAGACTGTACATTTTAATATAGGACTTATATTGATTTTGGTCTGGCTAGGCTATTTTTAGACTTCAAGGTGGAAAAAACCTTTGGATTCAACTGAGGACAACGTGTTAATTATTCTATTTGTTTGTGTACCGTAGTTCTATGAAAAACCACTCGCATTTTGTTGCACTACGTTTATCTGTGAGCTTTTTAACTGACTTCGAGAAAACAGGAGTTAGGAAGATTTTTCTATGCGTAATTTTATTGGGGGTATCGATTTTAACAATTCCTTTTGCATTTAACTGAAGAAAGGATATTGTTGTTAGGTCCCAGTTGGGTTCTTTCCTTAATCAAAAATTTAAAAAAGATAATATTTCGACTGCTCAATAAGGTGTTAAAAAATAATCACACTTTCATTAGGTAATTGATTTTATGACCAACTAAATTTTAGTATTTTCCAGCATATTGTTAAGAAATAAGTAAGTATGCTGTTTGACATTAAACAAATGTGACGTCACAATACATAATCCCGTTCAAAATTCATAGAAAACTATCGTATTTCCCAGTTCGAAAAAGTATTGATTTTGACTAGTTGGTATGTACCCAGTTAATTGTCGAGAATTAAAACTCCTTAGCGTCTAACGTAAATAATCTTCTTCGTTTTTATTAAAATAGAATTTAGATATTCCATACTATATGCCACACTATTACAGTATGGTGTCGTCATAATAATTGACCAATCACGATTGCCCCCTGACCGTAACAGTACCTTCAGACGTATTCACTGACGTACAGGTGACATTCAACTGATTGTTATTTAATTGGAGCTCCGGCCTTAGACCCACTCATTATAATTAATTATTACTTTTACACAGGTAGCCATTGTTTAGTTGCGTGGCACTTTACATTGTTTTACAAATACGTGTGTATATTAAGAAAGTATGACAACTTTTGCTAACGAACTTTTTTGTGTGGTGAGAGTAAATATTTTATGAGTGTTGCTATATGTGAAAATCTTAGCCAGGTATAGTAAGGTAGATAATATTCTTCACAAATGAATCAGAATTGGAGCCAACATGACTTCGTCGACTACTACCTCAAACATAATATTACTCGCTCCTCTGGGGTGGGCAATAGGTGCTCTACTCTCCCTCATCCTCATTATTATCATCAGCTCATTTCTATCCACAGCAAACAAAAACCTTTCCAATAGCAATAAAAAATATTTATTCTGCATTAGACACGATACAACGTAAATAAAATATAAAAAGTCACTAAAAGATAATATGTCAGTGAAAGTAAGATCAGGAAGAAAAATCAAAACAGAAGAATTCGAAAAGAAACCCTAACAATAGCACACCACTAATTAATTTATTTACTCTTCTTTCATTCCCAGGTACAACAAGCGCTCCCAAAGGTATTCAGCGGCCATGTGGTCACGCTGCCGTCCTCTGCTGGACTCTAAAAACAGTCTACGGCCTCAAGAAAGGAGTTTGGTGGGCAGCCTCTGACCTTGGATGGGTGGTCGGTCATTCCTACATCTGCTATGGACCCCTTCTAGCAGGAGTTACCTCTGTGCTGTATGAGGGCAAACCTGATCGAACTCCTGACCCTGGACAGTACTTTAGGTAAGATTTTTATAATGCATACTTTTCGGGTTTAGGACACCGTTTTTTTATGGAATAGGATTTAGGAGGCAAATAAATGAGCAGAGGGATCAGCGCCGCCCATGGACACAGGTGCGTTGCCGGCCTTTTAAAAGGCAAGCATAGCCTCTCGCTCTTAAGTATCTCCAAACGATGATTTTGCGGTAGTTGCATTAGCATCTGATGAAGGAACAACAGTTATTGACATAACTATATTGTTATATTCCTATCTTCATGTTTCCCCAGGATCATAGAACAGCACCGTGTGAATGCCCTCTTCACGATCCCCACAGCATTCAGAGTGCTGAAGCGAGCTGATCCCAACGCGAAGTACGCCAGGAGATACTGCAGCAAGTCCTTGAAGACTGTCTTCATCGCTGGAGAGCATTGTGATCAGGATACCAGGGTGAGTTTGAATTTTAAATTAAATGAGGGATAGAAGAATGGGCAGTAAAGTCAATCTTTCATCATCATCATCAATTATACCAGCCATAGGACGCCCACTGCTGAACATAGGCCTCCCCCAGTTACTTCCAGATAGACCGGTTTCCGGGGAGGCGGCGAACCTCCTTGCCGGATTACCGCCGTGGGATCTGGAGGCGAAGGTGCTCGCGCGCGTGTTTTGTTTGCGCGCGGAGGCACGTTGCCGGGGCGAATCTCCGCTGCCGCGCCAGATTAATGCGTGGCGGGATGAGCTCCGGCGTGATCTCATGGCGGAATGGCAGCAACGACTGTCGCAACCGAAGGCTGGGCTCGCTGTCATTGCAGCGGTAAGTCCCCTCTTTGAGGAGTGGCTTGAGAGACGCTACGGCGTCCTCACCTACCGCCTGACGCAGGTGCTTACCGGACACGGGAGTTTCGGTAGGTTCCTGTTTCGGATTGGGCGGGAGGAAACGCCCGGGTGTCATCACTGCGAGGATCGCCCGGAGGACACGGTGGAGCATACGGTGGCGGTGTGTCCTGCGTGGACTGAGCACCGCCGTGTCCTCAGGAATGTGATCGGCGACGGCGACCTCTCGC